AATATATTAATATTGAAATATCAAGAGAATATTCATTTTATTATGGGCGGAAATGAAAATATACTTGTTAATTTAACATGTGAATTAACAAGATCATTAGAAAAAAAGCAAGATAGTCGAGGTCAAATATTATTACTTATGGGTGAATATGATAAAGCACTTGAAGCTTTAACTAAACTGACAGAAATTGAACCAGATAACATAATAGCACCAAGATATTGAGAAGAAATTTATTGCATAATGAAAAAATATAATGAATCAATTGCTGACATAATGAAATTATTAAAAATTAAGCCTGGTGACGAATGGGCAACAGAAGCTAAAAAATTAGTTAATAAATAGTAAGTGAAATGTGCATTTGTAAATTTTAGGTTTCAAAATTTATTACTAACCTACATACTTTTTGTTACCTATATAGTTGGTAAGTTCTTTGCGACTTTTTTTTTTTTTTTTTACAGTAAATAATGGTACAAATAAATGCCCTATCGAACAACTAATCCATATACTTTTTGTAGTCGGTAAGTTCTTTACATACGACTTTTTTTTTTTACAGTAAACAATGGTACAAATAAATGCCCTATCGAATGTTAATTCTAACTAATCCATATACTTTTTGTCACTTCAACAGCGAGTAAGTTCTTTACACATGACTTTTTTTTTTTTTTACAGTAAACAATGGTAAAAATAAATGCCTTATCAAATATTAATTCTAACTAATCCATATACTTTTTGTCACTTAACAGCTAGTAAGTCCTTTATATACGACTTTTTTTTTTTACAGTAAACAATGGTACAAATAAATGCCCTATCGAATGTTAATTCTAACTAATCCATATACTTTTTGTCACTTCAACAGCGAGTAAGTTCTTTACACACGATTTTTTTTTTTTTTTACAGTAAACAATGGTAAAAATAAATGCCCTATCGAATGTTAATTCTAACTAATTCATATACTTTTTGTCACTTCAACAGCAAGTAAGTTCTTTACATACGATTTTTTTTTTTACAGTAAACAATGGTACAAATAAATGCTTTATCGAATATTAATTCTAACTAATCCATATACTTTTTGTCACTTCAACAGCAAGTAAGTTTTTTACATATGACTTTTTTTTTACAGTAAATAATGATACAAATAAATGCCCTATCGAACGTTAATTCTAACTAATCCATATGCTTTTTGTCACCTTTATAGTCTATAAGTTCTTTACATACGACTTTTTTTTTTGTTTACAGTAAATAATGGTACAAATAAATGTCCTATCGAACGTTAATTCTAACTAATCCATATGCTTTTTGTCACCTTTATAGTCTGTAAGTTCTTTACATACGACTTTTTTTTTGTTTACAGTAAATAATAGTACAAATAAATGCCCTATCGAACGTTAATTCTAACTAATCCATATGCTTTTTGTCACCTTTATAGTCTGTAAGTTCTTTACATATGACTTTTTTGTTTACAATAAATAATGGTAAAAATAAATGTCTTATCGAATGTTAATTCTAACTAATCTATATACTTTTTGTCACCTTTATAGGAGGTAAGTTCTTTACATACGACTTTTTTTGTTTACAGTAAACAATGGTACAAATAAATGCCCTATCGAACACTAATCCATATGCTTTTTGTCATTTCAATAGCAAGTAAGTTCTTTACATATGATTTTTTTTGTTTACAATAAATAATGGTACAAATAAATGCCTTATCGAACATTAATTCTAACTAATTCACATACTTTTTGTCACTTTTATAGTCTGTAAGTTCTTTACATACGATTTTTTTTTGGTTACAATAAATAATAGTACAAATAAATGCTCTATCGAACGTTAATTTTAACTAATCCATATACTTTTTGTCACCTTTATAGGAGGTAAATTCTTTACATACAATTTTTTTTGTTTACAAAAATAATGGTATGTTAATTCTAACTAATTCTTATACTTTTTGTCACTTTAACAGCAAGTAAGTTTTTTTATATATTACTTTTTTTTCAACGTAGCACTTAATGAATCATTATATTTATTATTCAATGTTAAGATTTCAAAAGGAATTTCATAACTGGACAGGTGACAATCTTGACATTGATGAATTTATTAGACAAATTTAACTTGGTGCAGAGAGATTTAAAGACATTATCGAATGGATACCTTTTAGTAAATTTACAAATATAAAGCATCTTGCTAAAGGAGGCTTTGGCACTGTTTTTAAGGCAAAATAGACTGACGGATATATTTGTGGATTTGATGACCAAAGGAATTTCTGGAAACGAAATAGACAAATAAATGTTTGTTTAAAAAGCCTTGATAATTCTAAGAATATAAAACAAGAATTTTTAAATGAAGTATATTAAATAGTTATTGCATGCGAAGCATGCAATAACTGTAGTATTTTATAGACGATCCTAATTGGTCAGTGATCTCAGCCGGTATGGCTAGGTCACCGTACAATTAGGAAGAGAACATAAAATACATAAAATATTATGTGCTTAAAATCTACTGGCTCTTTTGCTTATTAGAAAAGTGTATTTGCACACTGTTCTAGTGAGCAAAAGAGCCAGTAGATTTTAAGCACATGATATGACAGTTATTGCTACGTAGCATGCAATAACAGATTTATTTTTTTTATGCCGATTAGTGATTCAAAAATTAATACGTATTGTGTAATGCATTAGACTTTGAAATAATGGTATAAATAGATTTTCACCTGACAATTTTTTTTAGCGCTTTTAATACTTTCGCTATGCCCCAAGAGTATATATTTTAAATTTTGAGGTCTGTGCTTCTTTAATTATATATCTGAATTGTGTACGCCCAAATATATATTACAAAAGGGGTTTTTTGAAGCTGATGAAACTTCAAGTCTATTGTACCTGAAAGTGTTAATCCAAGTCTATAGTACCTACCAATGCTGTTTCAAGTCTTTTAATATTTACCAATGCTGTCTCAAGTCTGTGGTACCTACCAACACTGTCTCAAGTCTTTTGGTACCTACGAACACTGATCCAAGTCTGTTGCACCTGTTAATGCTAGTCCAAGTTTGTTGTACCTGTCGGCGCTGATCCAAGTCTGTTATATCTGCTAACACTGATCCGAGTTGCCTTGATGGTATGTTATAGTTAAATATTTAGAGCAAAATTTTTATATTATTTAAAATAACAAAAAAATAATTTAATTTTACATTAGGAAAAAAAAAATCAAATACTAAAGTGCGTGGTGATTACTTACTTACTGATAAGGAAATCGATGAAATAATCGAATCTTGTATTCCAGAAAATACTCGCAAGGCTATACAAAAGTGGGTAAAAGCTCTAAATAGGTGGCAGAATAATATTAGATATTGTTATGGTATCAAAATAGTCACTAGTAAAGACCAGCTTGAAAAGAAAATGACAGAATTTTTCTGTAGTGTACGAAAAATTCAAGATAGAAGTGATTATAGTCCCTCTTCATTAGTTAATGCTTATAATTGTTTAAGTAATTATATTTATAAGCATCTGGGTGGTAGTCAAAATTTTGTAATTAACAATAAAAGTGAATTTCCTTTATTGTGAGAAGTTCTTAATAGAAAAATGAAGGTTCTAAAGCAATCCAGAAAGGTTACCAAGCATCATGATCCATTGTCACCTGACGAATTAAAGACAATATTTAATCATAAGACATTGTCGATTAATACAGCCAAGGGGCTTCAATATCGGGTGTTTATGTGGTGTTGTTTCCTTTTTGCTTCATGTGGTGGCGAACATAGTCAAATGAAGATTACGCAGTTTACTTTTCTTAGTAATGAAGAGATTCAGTTTACAAAATTTTCTCAGAAAAATGACCCCGGCGGTATTGAAGGAAATTTGGATTCGCTTATAATACTAGTACCTGCAGATCCTGAAGGGTATTTAGGGCCCATTCATGATATTAAGTTGTATTTAAGCAAAAGACCCACAAATTGTGCATGTCAATTTTTACATCTCAAAATTAATAAAGACATTCATAGTATTTTTTTTTTATTTACTTTAATTGATATATTATTTTATAGTAATTTATAATTATTTAATATAGAATATAATGATGGCAAGTGGTATCTCGATGTTAAATTGTGACAAAATTCGTGCAGTAATTTTATGAAAAATATTTGTTTCAATATTGGAATAAATATCAAAGATCGTGATATCATTAATCACTCAGGAAGAACTACACCAATTACACACTTGTTTCGTGAAGGTATTCCGATTGTTACCTCGATGTCAATAACCGGCCATAAAAGCAAATCGTCATATCGTATATATTCAAGGCCAAGTGAACAACAAAAAAAAGATACCTTGTCTACATTGATTAGTATTGTTGATCTTCCGGAATCTCAGGATAATGATGGCATTGATGATTTTTTCAATAAAAAACAAGATCTGGTAAAGTTTTCGATTATTTTAAATTAAATTTTATATATTTATATATTAAATATATATTTATTTTAGAAACCTGATAATTATGACTCTTCTGGCTCTCATGTCCCACCAAAAAGCTCAGTATATTCTGAGTTTCGAAGCCCCTTAAAAAATAGCACAAAACCAAATTTACCTTCTCATATCAATGCTACTAAAAAAAATCTGACTCTTGGTGGAAAAAGGCTGTTACAGCCATCTCAATCTAGTTTGCAAAATACGTCGAATAGTGAGCAAGGTACTACGATCATTAATAATTATTATGCTGATCATATTACAATTAATCAATATTGAAAATATAATGTAATTTAAGTAAACTAATTAATAAAGCAGCAATATAGCTTTTTAAATGTTTTATTATTATTTTTTTTTTTTGAAGTGTTAAAATATTGAAAGTCATTTATACAACCACAATTTTAAAACATCTCACCTCAGTAGAGTCATTTGCGCAACCATAACAATTTTAAAAAATCCCAGCTTAGTAAAGTCATTCGTGCAACCATAACAATTTAAAAAAAATCCCGCCTCAGTAAAGTCATTTGTGCAACTATGAAAATTTTAAAAAAATCCCACCTTAGTAAAGTTATTCACGCAACCATAACAATTTAAAAAAAATCCCGCCTCAGTAAAGTCATTCGTGCAACCATAACAATTTAAAAAAAAAATCCCACCTCAGTAAAGTCATTTGCGCAACTATAACAATTTTAAAAAAAATCCTGCCTCAGTAAAGTCGTTCGCGCAACCATGAAAATTTTAAAAAAATCCCGCCTCAGTAAAGTTGTATGCGCAACCATAAAAATTTTAAAAAAATCCTGCCGCCTCAGTAAAGTCATTTGCGCAACTATGACAATTTCAAAAAAAAACCTCCCACCTTAGTAAAGTTGTTCGCGCAACCATGCTATTCATAAAATATAGACATGACGTATCATAAAATACAGATATTACTATAAAATATAGATGTGACGTATCATAATTACCATGAAATAACAAATTTATTTATGAAGCTGATCATAGTAAAAAAAAAATAAATTATATAATTTATTGTTATTTTTGTTATTATTCAAATTCTATTTATCTTAATTAATATTTAGATTAAAAATCAACATGAACATGGAGGTAATTCAGCATTAAAATTTATGGAATAACTAAGAACCCAAATGATGATAATTATATGATGGTGATAGAATTCGCAAAGCAGGGAAGTCTCCGAAAATTATTAGATAGCAAATATAACAATTTAGATTGGAATTTTAAAGTTGCTATCTTATATTACATAGCTGATGGGCTTAATTCAATTCACCATGCTAATTTAGTGCATAAAGATTTTCATTCTGGAAATATAGTTAACCAAGATATGTTTAGTTCTTACATTACTGATTTCGGACTGTGTAAGCCAGTTTCACACGATTCCGATTCTGAGGAACTTTTTGAAGTACTTCCCTATATTGCTCCAGAATTGTTAAAAGCATCATTGAAACGCGATAAAATAGTATATACTTAGGAATCAGACATTTATTCTTTTGGAATTATTATGTCAGAAGTTTTTACTGGATATCCTCCATATCATGATATTCCACATGATGTCAAATTATTTAGTAAACTCAGTGAAGGTCTTATACCTGAAATTAAATGTGAGGTTCCCCAACTACTTTTGGATTTAATGAATAAATGCTTGGATGTTAAACCTCAAAACCGACCTACTGCTAATGGATTAGTTGATGCGCTAAGACGATTTTTTTATGATTTGAAAAATGAAAAAACCGAATTATATAAGCAAGTTAAAGAAATTAAGGACTCAGGCAAAAATTCAAATCAAGTCACATCAATACGACACAACTATCAGACACATAAACAAGCTATTTATACAAGTCGGCTTTTGATTTATCAAAATCTTCCTTAACCAATAAATGCTAATTCACGTTATTCAATCAAAATATTGGGTTTAAAGCATTATTTTTTCATACTTATTAACTTTTGTGCTTGTTTTAGTAAGCAAACTTGTTGAACGCCCAAACTTTGACTAATATCATATTTCGTCATGGAGAGAGCTAGGGTCTTTTACAATCTACACTGGTTCTTTCCCTGGATATGCTATTCGGGTCTTGTACCAAAGTCATATATGATGAAACCGATTTGTTTTATGTCATGTTTATAAATTCAATTTAACATGCCCGGATCTTTTACAAAATATACAAGTAACAGATTTGGTAAATATTTGGTATTTATCAAAGGGGTATTGTCAACAAGGGTGTATTTTCAATGATATGTTAAGGATTGTAAAAATTTCTTATACCATGCTTATAATCATCAAATATGACTCCATAAAATTAAAGTAATCTTTTCTCTTCAAATAAAATAAATTATAAATATCTTTTATAACTTGACCTATTAATTGATCACATGTACATGTATAAGTAGATTATAATAAATCAACCAGTGATGTTTGCACAAGTATTTTAGAGAAATTTTTGCTATTAACATCTATCTAGAGCTAGAATTAGAGTTACATGAGGAGTTTGAAGCTATTGCTTAGTATATTAATTACTAATTGTTTAGTTGTTTGAGTAATAAGCTATTTGCTTAATTTAATAAACTTAGAATGTCAATAGTTATACAGAAAGGTGTTTAGATTTACAGTATAAACACCTTTTTGTAAACAGTATATACAAATTTAGATAACCGCATATACCGCAAGTAATGTAAAATTCCTATTAAAAATACATTGCAATCTGAGGATGTGATAGGATGTATTTAATTGATATTGTTCTCAACTGATAATGATATCAAGAAACATTATCTTTTCTTTGTTGATCATAAAATGCCCTACATGAATGAGTTTTCTGCCAATTCGGTTAAGCTATTGATTTCAACATTATTAAATTTTTGATTGAATACTTGCCCAACAAGGTTGGAGTGTTTAGTTTGTACGAAAATTTTAAAATAAATCTTGACAAAAATACAAAAAGGGTTCCAGATGTAAATTACTTTACAATAAACAAGTATAACTCAAGATTCCAAAAAATCAAGGCTTTAATATTTTCGAAAATGGTTTATTAAAGTTTTTAATCTATCCATACAGTATCTTTTAAAGTGCTTGAGAACTCGACTTGTAGAAGATCTGCTAAAACCTAAGTGTTCAGCAATTGTTCGACTTCTAAATTTTTTTCATTTGCCAATGAAGATGCTTAAATGTAGATATGCGTATGTAGACTTATACGTAATATGTATATTAGATATCTGATCTTAAATTTCAATTTATCGTTATTGAATCTATTATATCGAAATCGATAACTTAACCGAATCGACCGAAAAATCCTTTGATCAGTTTGTTGTCAGGTGTACTAGAATTTATGAAAACACTTAATAAAATTGCGGGCCAGATGTGTCAAGATCATAGTAAAATGCGGGCTAACCTTCTATTATAATTTCTGAACACCTGATAAAAATTAGTCGAATGATTTTTCGGCCGATTCGATTAAGCTTGTGATTTCGGCATAATAGATTCAATGAGGGATTTCAGAATTAACGTCAGGAATCTAATTTTGACAGAAATAATATTTATTTTCAAATGAGCGATTTATCAAATTTTTATCGTAGCAAAGTTTATTTCGTTACAATTATTTTCGTAATTCCTGGAACACCTGATAAAAATTGATCGAATAATACTCCGGCCGATTCGATTAATTTATTGATTTTGGCATGAACGGTACGTATGTAAATTATGTTATATACATATAGACTACATTGTTTAAGCACCACCAACATTTGGTATCATTTCCAAAAATAAGCACCCTCGCGTTTTATATTAGGTTTGCCTCTCTGAATTCGCATTAATAGGTTTTGCTATAAAGAGTTATCGTATCAGGTTCCTTTAAAATATTATGCACTTTAATGGTGTAATCTCATAAGAAACACCAAACCCTTTTTTCTCTTCTATAATCCAATCGTATAGCTTTTTTCACCCTAGGGTAAAATTCTGTTCGACCAGAGCTGACTCGCTTGGTGCTTTGTTTTATTTTAGCTCCCATAACCTACTTACTTTAATTCAACGACCAACCATGCTAGGATCGAGCTTAAAGGGCTGCTGCGGCTTTATTCCTCCCAGTTTCTTTAGCATAGGTGATAACTTGTTTTTTATTGTTCGATAGAATATGAATTACGCTTAAATTTAGTAACTTTCCTTTTTCATATACATTATTTCTATATTCGTTTCGTGGTAACATAACAATAAAGATAATAACGATATTTTAAATTAAGATTACTTCCTACTTTGTCTTTTATATATATTTACATAACGATAAATTACAGCATATCATAAATCTTATCAAAAATAGTTATCCAAAATTAAGCACCCCTATAACAAAAAAAGTGTGCTTTATTTCGGAACTATACGGTATATATGTTTTTGCACAAACTAAACACACTAAACACGTTGGAAATTTAATAATATTGAACGTGTCGACATTTACAATGTTAAAATTAGGCCGTTCAAAGTTGAATAGTTGTTTAACGTCATCCCCCCTCTTGGTTAGAAATTAAACAAGCTAATCACAATGCAAGATGATCTTCAATAATCATGTGATTAAGTTGACCAATGAGATTTGATCAAATATTCCGTGTTATATATGTGTTTGTTTAATTTTGACAGGGCGCAGGATC